TTAACATACGTCACGCACTCCGTTGCTCTTATTGGTTGTAGGTCTATCCAATTGAGTGCAGAGGCATTTTTTTTCCTGGTTCGTTCGAAACACGCCCCATAATCACAGCTCTATGGAGCAGCATCAGACTCATTCTGACTAGAATTGAGTAGGACTACGTCAGGCTAGTTATTTAATGGATTTGTGTTAAAATTATGAGCCAAAAATTAAATGGGAATTTGTTTTTATGGAATTAAAATTAAATAAATCTTAACATTTGGGTAAGATATTTTTGTGAGTGCAATGGCTTCCACCTTCAGTGGTTGTCATAGCAATTCACCACAACCTTTAAGGTCGGATATTGCAATCAGGATTCACCCCAATGCCAATCTACTGTACTCAAGAACTTAAAGAAGAAGTTATAACAAAAATGCTGCCAATTCTGTGATTCATAAAGTAATTTTTAATCTCAGGAAAATAAAATAAATAGATTATTTTCATCTTTTCTTGTAGTTTATAATCGTTGTGAAGGTGAGTGTTGTTTGTTGAGGTGTTCAGGGACTGAGTTATTTGTCTGAACTCATGAACTCAACCCAAGAAAGAAAAGTAGCCTTCGATTTGTTCAGGTCACCCATCAATGCAGCACGTCGTCAGCAAACACTCTGATGAATACAAGCTTAGTGAATACTTTAAGACATATATTTATACGCTGTATCACAATCACAGCCATGTACAGATCAAAGCCAAGAATTCACACGGAAAAAAGCTTTTTGAACGGTCTTAGAATAAACGTCTGGCTTAGGAATGTGCTCCCATCCCAATTTTAAATTAGAATATAATCAGATACTATAGAAGTAAGAGCACCTTTGGACTTCAATGTTTTGCATTGATTTCGGTGTTGATAGAAAGATGATTGAGATACAACTCGGTCTGAGGTTTAATCCAAAGAAAGTTCGGTACGATTCAAACTAGCCTCAGTCTGTCGTTTTAATTAAAATCAATAATTTCAAACAAGAAAATAACAAAATGTTCATAGAAAGAGAAAATGTAGACCAAAAATATATTTATAAGATATGGATTTTTTTCTTTCCAAATTTTCCTGCTTCCCTGTGCGTCTGCTTTCTCTGCCGGGGTTGGTATTGATTATGCTATGCCACAGTAATACAACTAATTTCTCAACTTCAGGCTGCTTAGATAGCACCAAACAGACAGAGGTGGAGGTCAAATGATTAAGGAGACTTGGAGGCTAAACTATTTTGATTACCCAGGGATGAGCATGCTGCTCGCGCCTGCTCTGGTACTTACTGTGACCTTTCTTTATCAATAAAAGACGATGCTTCACACCGATTTTCCACGATTTGTCTTTTTCTTTTCTTTTTTTTTTCAGAAACAACAAGGGGATTTGAATTTGTGTCTGAGACACTCATTTCTCCTGAATCCGACTGAATGTGTATGTGAGGATGTGCATGTACTGGCACTCCTGCCTTCAGTTTGAGGCAATTTCTATGATTGCTTGGAGGTCACCTGTCAACCTTTTGATCCAATAAATAAACAGCTGTAAATATCTTGTGAGATTGCGCGCTGACCGCCCCTATATAGAATGACATTTGGAGTCCAATCAGCTGCATTTCATACCTTCTTCAATTTTTCTTTTTTTGCCACTTTCTTTTGTTGCTCTCTATAAGGCCACAGAGTTGAAGGATGATCGCAGCCCATCAGACGCAACAGTGATGACCACCTTCACCATCCTATTAATTGACAAGAATGACAATGCCCCAAAGTTCAACAGCTCCGAGTACCGGGTTCGCATCACTGAACTTGCCCAAGTGGGCTTTGCCCTGCCTCTTTTCATCCAGGCAGAAGATAAAGATGAGGTAAGTGAATTGTTTCCTTACTGCCAGACAATGTTTATGTACTCAGTAGCTCAGCGTGTTAGCATTGCACCACTGCCTGTCTTTACTAAAGGTCTCTATGGGTCAAATACTTTATCTCATGCATGCAAAAGGAAAACTAGGGTTTTCTCTTTGTTGTAAGCTGAAATTTGTAAGTGCATACAGATACAGATTAGAGAAAATCTGAAGAGAATAATAATTTCAGATAAAACTGGATTTGAAATCAGCTTTATCTGACTTGGAAATACGGAAGTGAGTTTTAAAATCAGACGTTCATTTGTAAAATCAAAAACCTATAAAACTGTCCTGCGTAAAAAAGCCCCAAAACCTTAGAAATATTTTTGCAGCTCCTAAAACAACTGCCATTGACTGGAAAAAGCTTTAAATGAATGTGGAGGATTTTATTTTTCACTTTAATTTGAAGAGTCGTTCAATGCTTTGCTATTAATGTGGCTAAAGCATCTTAACCAGATTTATGGTTATACTTTGAATATTGTTCAGTTCCTTCAACCATAAAGAAGGTGGTTTTCTATGGAGGTAGATCAGTCTTAATTTTCAGAAATACACATGTGATTCATACGTGCACAGGACAAGATTCACAGACGCACGATTCACACAAGCGAACAAGATCCACAAATGCACAGAACACAGAATAGTTCCATACATTATTAAAAATCTTAACTTGATTCCAGCATTTTAAGGGCGCAAAGTAAGCCCCCTGGTCCTTTTCTACCCATCCCTGGACTCCTCCCTCTGCCTGCTCCATCACACTGCCACACATGTAGGATCTTGCTTAGGGGGTCGTTACTGGAGGGTCCCATCTTAGCCCATCTGATGACGTCCCCCACCCCGATTTTATTTTGCATTTTAGACACTTTCATCTACAACATTTTCAGAACACACATCCATGTAGGGCATTGTCTTGGGTTGATGTGGGGTAAGGACACTGGGAGGGGGGTTATTTTATGGGTCTCACCTCGGATGGCTCCCCCCCAGCTCCTCTCGCATTTAGACTCAATTTAGACATTGAGGGTTCTGGGTTGTCGATTGGGGGCTGTGCTGGCGCCGCCTGTCTTCCGGAGGGGGGGTGGACTGTGCCGGACACCCCCTTTGGTACTCCCAGTTTTGATTAAACCTGAGAATAAGACGCAACAACACAACATTTTTGTGCGGCCACAGGCAGGATCGGAGCTTTTCTCACACCCCTGTTCTCCGTTTGTCGCCAGAAGTCCATGGCCTGGAGGAAGAGCGGGCTGCCTGATCCGGGGTCTTGGTGGGGGGCTGTTGCGGGGCTTGGGTGGCCTGCTGGTTCCGGGGCTGTCATTTCTGCTCTCCCCAGAGCAGGGTGGAGGGAGGGGTGACTGGTGTATTGAGGAGGAGAATGTTGCCCTGTGAATTATTTAGGGGTGGGGGGGTTGGAGGCTCTGGTTGGGTGGCTTGTACTGGGGGTCGTCTGGTCTGGGTGCAGGGTGGAGGGCCGGGTCTAAAGTCTGAACTAGATGGGTTAGTGTGGTGATGACACTGCTCCCTAATTCCCACATCCAGATTTCAGGTTCACTACTGGGGAGTGTTATGTATGAATGTGCATCCGCCTTTTTTTGTTTGTTTTTTTTACTTGTCATGTTCGGGTCTGAACTGATCCCTCTCCCAAGAACATCTTAAGTCTCTGCTAAGTGTGGAGCCCATTCCCCCCTGTCCTGCCCCCCTCCGATGGCTGGCCTGGGCTTACGGTGCACTGGTAGTGCTCTGTCATTTCGGGGTGGATGCCCGGGCGGATCCTGGCTTATTCTTGGCGGCTGCTCCGTGGGGCCTGGCCCCCGGGCCCAGCCAGGGCTCTCACCAGGGGGCGGGGCGCCCTTGGGGCCTCAGGTCCCTGGGGCCCATGGCTGGATATGCTTCAGTGCGGCTGGCTGCCGGCGGAGCCTGCGGACTCATCCCCGCAGCTACTGGAGGTTCTGGCATTGCAGTGGCATGGGGACTTCCTCGGGGCCCTCTCTCCTCCTCCCTTGGTGGGGGGTCTGATTTCCTGGGTTGGCCCCTCCTGTGCCTTTGCTCTTTGGGTCCCTTTGGACATCTGGGGCTTTAGGTCCTCCGGTGCTCGCCTTGGTGGTCTGGGGGGGCACGTCTTTGGCTCTTCACAACCTCTATTGAGCATTTTTCCTTTGGATAAACTTTACATGCGCAAGTGCACTTTCACAAACAACTACAGGTGCTTATTTCCAGGTACTCAGAGATTCCCTTCCATACAGAAAGCCCATATTCTTATCTTCAGCTACCACAGTATACATGTCAGATTAAATAATACTACTTATACTTCAGCGATAGTATCAAGGTGTTACTTTACTGTAACTCTTATACTATATCCATTGGTTTTGCTGTTCTTTTTACATCTCTTTGCAGCTGATGAAGCAGACTGAAGATGTTTTATCATTATCTCCCTTTTATCTCCTCTTTCTTTAATCTTTTCTCCTTTTTTTGTGTTTTTCCTTTCCTGTTCTACTTAGATTGCAGTGTCCATATAATCTGAAATACACCCTGCTTAATTATAATAAAGCTATTTATATGCATAAATCAAGTAGAACACTATGGCGATAGCCGTACTGCTCCACTTGTGAAATCAAACTCTGTTGCGCTTTTTTTTTTTGGCATCAGGACAGTTATTCGTGTTGCCACATCGCCAGACAGGACACTGTTAAGGAAAAAACAACAAATAAATAGAAAAATAACTAGAATGAGACAAAATGGAAATAAAACCAATGAAAACTCAAAGATAAAACTCAAACAGAACCAAAACCATGGCATAGGGTTGTTTAGTTAAAACTTAACCTCCAACTAACCCCTTACAGGGTTTCCCCGTTTTTTTTAACCTGTATTTTGCACCAACCTTGTCCACTTCAATTCTCACCAGCCTTCTTGTCACTAATGAAATGCTAATGAAAAGCATCCCTGAACATTATCCTGCCACCACCATGTTCCACAGGGTGGATGGTAGATTTAGCTTAGTTGGTTCAAGAAGGGGATTGCTATTTATTTTAAATTCTTTCCTTTTGTTTTTACTGATTGTAAATGTCCAAACAATGAAATCAGTCGTTACTAATCAGCTTTAACACATGAACTTAACCTGGACACCAAATTGTACACAGAAAGCAGTTTTCTGAGTCATTTCCGTCTCCCTCTCTCCTGCTCCTCTCACACATGCACATGCTCACTCACACCAGCGCATTGGACTCAACTACAATTTAATTTGCTCTGGAAGAGATGGGATAGAGCATCAAATTATACCTAACGAGGAAAATCAATCACCATGGGTGCAGATAAGCCGAAAGCTAGTCAACTCTGATTGATTCAGGCACAGCAGCTGCCAGGGTGGAATTTGACAGATAACTGCAAGTCAAGTGGATAAAGAAATAGGTGAAGACATGTGGAAAGCTGAGGAGAGAAGAAGGGGAGACAAGAAGAACTCGAAGATGATTGAACAGAAAGTCACCTGCAACAGAGCAAAGTTAGAAGTCTGAATTATAGGTGAAAAATGGTAAAAGAGGGACGCAGTGAGGAGGAAAAGAAAACAAATTAAGGAGAAATAGTGGGAATACTTAGAGCCAGGTCTGTTTATCCATTCAGGGAATGTTTTGTTTATGCCTGTATTACACTATCATGCAGAGACAAAAATACAGCAAGCGTGTGGCTACATGTAGGCTTGGGGATAATAAGCCCATTTTTCTTGTGATAAGAAGTATCACTATAGACTTCTATGCAAACTTAACAATCGTCATGTTAAAGTGGTTTCTAGAAACCATCAGAAATCTGCAGTTTGGGAGCAAAAGTACTCTGTTGGGAATATAAGGGACAATCAGTTCTCTGAGATATGATGGAGCTTGATTATTTAGTGCTTCATAAGTAGAAAGAGTAATTTAAATTTTATTCTAGGTTCAAAAAGAAGCCAAGAAGTGAAGATAAATTAGGAAAAAGGTGATCTCTCTTTTTATTTTTTATTTTTATTAGAACTCTGGCTCTTTCTCAGCATCTCCCCTGGCCAGGATACTTCTAATTTCTGAAATATCCCAGAGATGAAAGAAGAAAATTGTAGAAATATGTTTGTTGACCTTACATGGGATATATACAGTAGCCTATATACAGTGCGTTTTTTTTATATACTGTTTATATCCCATGCACCTTTTTCTTTCTTTGGCACATTCTTCTTCTCCTTTGAGTGTTTGAGCTGATTTAACAAGTAAATTTCTCCACTGTGAGATCTATAAGGTCAATCAAACATTTGCACGTAAAGACTTGTTTAATATTAAAGTGTTTCCATTATATGAGAAAAAACATTATAACATGCAGGACCTCAGCCATTACAGAAATGAGAGACAATCCTGCTCTAAACAATTCCCCTTATTATAAAGCAAATCTGCGATTCCAGTGTTTCCCAAACCTTTAGAATGATGTTCTTATTGGATTTCCTTGTATTGAGCTCTATCCTGAGTTTCCTCAATTGTCACGTCTTGGTTAAGGTTTGAAGGACCCAAATGCAGATGCAGAGAGGCTGAGGTGAATACTTGTAGTTTAATTATGAAAATGGTTAACAAAGGCAGTCCAAAAATCCAACTAAAAATGTAACAGACCAGAACCATAGAGACATCAAGGGAAAACACGTGCAAGGAGCCAGGGAGAGACGAGGTGAGACGACCAAGGAACGAACGAAGAGTGACTGCAGAGGGAGAGTATAAGGCCCCGTCCACACGAAGTCAAACCCTGGCCTAAATTCACAAATTTT